GCTGATAAGACTAATGCGAGCTCCTGGATGAGAACACTTTGGGGAAAGCAAGGCTGTGTGAAATTCAATAGAAACATCAGCTCTACTCACATGATTGTGGGAAAATTGTTCTTCTACCAGTCCTTCATCACCTCAAACGAAATTGGGTGAATACATCTCGATATAAATCTGCCGGAGCAGACTAGAATGGACTGGATGTTGTATCATTCCACTCGGTTTTCGTCAAATTTTGTGCCTCAATCTTTTTCCCCTTTCATCGTTCCTGATCCGCATTTATACTCGACCATTGAGGCCCGTCAGCTCGGAGTATATTTTCCAGATTTTACCATTCGTCGGGCTGCGGCACTTTAAAGTGTTCGTCTTTAACTTCGTTGGCAACGTGAGGCTTGCCCATCAGATTTTGGGAAAATTCATCTATCAACCCGTCTTCATCTTGTGCCACATTGGCTGACTGATAGTCTATTTGACGATCTACCGATTGTGTCGAAACTTGATTTCCCACGAGTCAACCATGCCCCGCTCGATGGCAACTCCTTTCTCGGCACACATGTACACCTTCCTCCTCCTCCTCCTCCTCATCTTCCCACTTCTCATTGGTCCTCTTCACTTGATCCTTCTCTTTCTCCGTCTCCTTCTCGTCCTGCCACACTCCCATTTTCCTGTCGCTATGCTTCTGACGCCGCCAGCGCGGAGTGCTCATGACGGCGGGCGAGTTTCTGGCACCCGACGACTTCTCCCAAATGATCAGCCTCGACAACGGCCTAACGCAGGCCGCCCAACCAACCGGCTTCTCGAGGTGCAGCCCAGTTCTCAGACTGGCCGACCTGTCGGCCGCGGAGGTGACCCGCCAGACCGAGAAACCTCGAGTCTGGCTCGAGATGGCGGACATCGTGAAGCGTGACTTGGAGCGCGAATCCGTCTCTGACGACGAGCCTGAGCCCGGATGGAGGACGAGGTAAGCGCCGATACGACACACTCTCTTTTTCCCACCCATTCTAGCGCCTTCAGACATGGGCCCCATCTCCTATCGCCGGCGGATAACATCGTCCAGGGGGCCAATATGAAGAAGACGCCTCAGAGAACGCTCACTCGGGGCGTCATTGGTTGCCATAGAGACAGAGAAGTGCAGCAAACTGGATCACGCTACCAGCTGTAGGTGGTTTCGAAAGTGACCCTCCTTTTCTGCCACAATTCAGTCAGCCTGAGTCGTGTGAGCTCAACTGAGGCAGGCTGGCGAAATATTTCCCAAAAGCAGATGACCAGATCACACGACGCCAGAGGATTTCACACTTGACCATCCCATCCCGACTTAAGTGGAGTGGAGTGCAGGTTCGACGTCGCGTGACCCGGTCTCAGCAACACCCCTTGACGAACAGCCTGGCGATGCTTTCATTTCACTCCACTTCCCTCCGACACAATTGAAGGAGCCACTCGCCAAAATCACACAATTTAAAATGAAATTGAAGATTGCGTTAACGTTTGTTTGTCATTTTCATTTGGAACTCGGACTTTAAGACCACCACAAAAGCCTGAATACAAATTATGTTCACTCTGTAGGTACGAAGAGAAACTGGGTTTCGATGAATCTCCTGAGATAACATTGTTAGGAGGACGTTCGTTTCGTATGAAAGTGGATGAAGAAAAGATTCGTTGGTCGATCTCACCAGATGAGGACTGATTAAGCTCGTTGTACTGCAGCCGTTTGGATTGTATATGATATTCATGTTGACGAAATACACGACACTTCCTCGCTCGTTTCGGGTGAAAACGAACCACTCTACTCGTCGGATTGTGGGAAAATTCAACTACCCGCCCTTCTTCACCTTAAACGAAATAGGGTGAATACAATTCATTTATCGGATTTATTGGTAGTCTCGAAAACCTTTTTACTCACGAAAAAAATAATTTAATTCTAGCGCATTTAACGCGTCGTTTATCAGAATGTTAGTGTACATAGACCCTACATCGAAGCTTACCGGCAACCTCCTCTTTCTTTTGCCTCATCATCAACTAACTTTATGAAGTCGTAAGACGAACAGAGGGAGGAAGTTCCGTGGACTGCGTCAACATGAATATTGTCTACAATCCAAACGGCTGCAGTACAACGAGATTCATCCGTCCTCATCTGGTGAGATCGAAAAACAAATCTCTTCTTCATGCACTTTCATTCGAAATGAAGCTTCCCTAACATTGGAAGTTTTCGTCAAGGAACTTTATAAAGTTAGTTGATGATGAGACGATAGAAAGAGCAGGTTGCCGTTAAGCTTTGATGTAGGGTCTATGTACACTAACATTCTGATAAACGAGGCAATGAATGCGCTAGAATTAAATCTAGATGAACATCTGAAATTATTTTTTTAGTGAGTAGAAAGGTTTTCGAGACTACCAGTAAATCAGATAAATAAATTGTATTCACCCTATTTCGTTTAAAGTGAAGAAGGACTGGTAGTTGAATTTTTCCACAATTTGATGAGTAGAGCTGATATTTTCCACTGAATTTCACACAGCCTTGCTTTCCCAAAGGGTGAGGGAAAATTCAACTACCAGTCCTTCTTCATGTTCAACGAAATAGGGTGAACACAGCTCAGGTAAAAGGTTGAGCAAAGTTTCAATTATTCGATTAGTCAAGTTGCCAATGTATAATACATATTTTACCTTCAATGGTAGGTTGCATGAACAGACACGGGATTTGGCTATGGGTTGTTGTAGATACGAAGAGAAACTGGGTTTCGATGAATCCCTTGAGATAACATTGTTAGGGGGAATTTAATTTCGTATGAAAGTGGATGAAGAAGAGATTCGTTGGTCGGTAGAGGAGGGATGAAACTCGTTGTAGTGCAGTTGGTTGGCTTTTAGACGATATTCATGCTGACGCAGTCCACGGGACTTCCTCCCTCGGTTCGGGTGCGTATAGACGCTAACACACCCACGCATACACTCGAGCAAAAGTAGCGGGACAAGTATGAAAGATAATCAGCCGAACCATCCATCTAGGTTTTTAATTTTTAATTTTTAATTTTTAATTTTCTTTTGGCCTAGCTGAGTCTATATAAGAGGTAATAACA